AAATGGAATAGATAAACGTAATTAACAATATTCACGTGGAGAATATTTGCGATGTAGATTTATATTCTTATAGATAATATCGGGACATTTCTGCGAGTGCGACAATTTCTCTTGTGATCGTGATCAAGGTAAGCTCTGCTCTGATCATGGCACTTGCGAATGCGGTCAGTGTGTCTGTAATTCTGGCTGGACTGGACCATCCTGCAACTGTAGGTCTTCTAATGATTCCTGCATCGCGCCAGGGACCACGAACGGTGTACTCTGCTCAGGTCATGTAAGTGATTGAAAGTACAGGGTTGGCCATATTCGACGGAAAGATCTGGCAACACTGTAACTTTTGACAGAGATTGTTAGATCGAGTAACGACGTTTCCCATGATTGAAAAAAAAACATCTTTCCGTCGAATATGGCCAACCCTGTATATGATGACAGAAAACTACAGTTATTATTTAATCCTTCTTTTCTGATATAATTTTAGTTACAGTGAAATATAATAATTATATTTATATTTACACATTATTTTAATAATCAAAGAAGAGGATATTTAGTTATAAATTTGGAAATATTACAAAAATTAAGAGATTTTATAAGATCTCATCTTTTTCTTTATAAAGGGTGACTGTATTTGCGGAGAGTGCATCTGTCACGAGGAAGGCAGCATTCGATATTCCGGTAAACACTGCAATAAGTGCCCGACCTGCCCAAGTCGCTGTGAAGAGCTGAAGCCCTGTGTACAGTGCCAGATGTACGGCACCGGAAACTACAGCGTTCCGGAGGAATGCGCGAGGAATTGCAAGGAATTTGTACCTGAGGGAGTCGAAACAGTGATCGTCGATGTGGACAATGATGAGGTGCCATGCTTCGGCACGGACGAGGATGACTGCAAGTATAACTTCGTCTATTACTACAATGAGACCAATTGCCTGCAAGTGCGCGCTCAGAACGAGCGTGAATGCCCGCCGCAAGTCTACATGCTAGGCATCGTGCTAGGCGTGATCGCGGCGGTAGTCTTGATCGGTCTCGCATTACTACTGCTGTGGAAGCTGCTGACGACTATACACGATAGACGAGAATTCGCCCGATTTGAAAAGGAGAGAATGATGGCAAAATGGGATACGGTTCGTATTTCTAATATTATAAACTATAATCAGATCGAGCTTTTAAGAATTAAACTTCTCAAATCAATTTTTATCAAAAATAGAGGGAAATCTTGAGTACCAGAATAAGTTTGCAATTATTTTTTTGAAAAAGTATTGTATAATTAAAAAATTAAAAGGCATTAAAGAACTCGTAATGCAATAAAATATAAAAAAATAAAGTAAAATATATAATTTAATAAAAAGATAATACAATGAAATTAATTATCAAACTCTCAAGTACTACTTTTTGTAAGATTTATTCTGTACAAATTAGTATAAAATATTCGTTTTGCTCGCTTTATAGGGAGAGAATCCAATCTATAAGCAAGCGACTTCCACCTTCAAGAATCC